AATACTCAACGATGATATTGAATGAAGGTTACGCTAGGTCGTGAATTAACAAAAGCAAGAAACTCTGGACCTCTAAACTCCCATCCAATGAATGACTGGCTAATGCATTCGCTGCGAGACCTAAAGGTCAATAGTTTAACCGAAGGAGAGGTTGTGGATATGTACTGCTGAGGAGTCCCATACTAGTAAGAAACATCTGATCAGTGCTCCCAAGTTTTTAATGGTTTTACAACTTGCATATGTCCATAATGAATACAACTAGGGAATAAATTCCTTATAAACCTTAAGTCATACTTAACATTTATTTGTGATACATGAAAATAGTTTCTTCATTTCATAACGTTTCTACCCGTGTGATTGTTTCACTACAAGATCAGAAGAAATCACTGCCAAAATTAGAGGTTAATAAATATCTAGATTCTGTGTTTTGTATTTTGCAAGATAATGAGATGCAGAAAGATTTCTTTGTGACTTCATTACGGTAACCAAAAGATTGACAAAATCAAAAGACTCTTAAAAGGAATATTTTTTTTGTTCAATGTTCAATAAGAAACTTTTCACTGAACTCTACTTAACAAACTAAGAAAACTCTACAAAACATTTGCAAAAGTCTGATAAAATTATCTAAATCTTATTTATGTATTTTTTCAAAGTTTAAGTAGGATAACAAAAGAGACAAAATGTTGACATTTTTAAGGAAATATATCCTCATGTATTGGAAAATATTAAGACGGTTAAATAAGTTTTTCATGATTCAACAATAAAAAGAAAACCACTGAAACTTAAGCATTTCTGAATGACTTTGAAAGTCAAAAAGGCGGAAATCGATTCATTCGATGTTTTGAGTAGATAAATAATACACAAAAAATAAACGGATAATGAAAACGGTCAACCAGTAGATCATAATCATAAATTATTTAGGCTCCGTTGATTATCATTACTATTTATTGATATACTTGTGATTCTCCGTTGTTTCTGTTGGATCGAATTGATCGACCTCTATTGGAATATGGGCTCCTACGTGGATCCCTAAACATTGTCTGGCTGTTAATTATGACAATTTAGTTAGTTGTGGCCAGCAAGAGAATCAAGGAGGCACGTTTCGTCCTGTTTGGGACTCATCAGCTATATTTACCTTCATCCCGGTGAGTGATGTTATTCCCACTGAGACTTCAACCTCACACCCATCGCTTCAAACGCCGAGGCGTTATCCACTACAGCTACTTTTTGTACAGCAGGTATTAGTTATAACTATTTCTTGATCAAATAAGACAACGGACCGCTACTAGTATATCAATAAATAGTGATAACTAATACCTGTCTTATACGAAGTGGTTATCTTTCCTTTGTGGCATAGTGGACAACATCTTGGCGTTTGAAACGATGGGTACATAGGTCGAGTTTCGGTGGGAACAACATCACTCCGCACTGGGTGCAAGTACATCCATCTGAAGAGTCCCCGATAGAACGAAACTTGCGTTCTGGACTCGTTTGCTAGCCACAACTAAACAAGATCTGCTGAAATGTTGACATAAGGCAACAAAATTTATCCACGATCAAGTTTTTAACTTGCTAACATCTTAAATTCTTTATGATCAACATTCATGATCATGATAAATAAACGTGAAGCATACCTTAACATTATAGTCTGCTTGATGGCTAAATAGTGGAATCCAGGACATGTGTTTCATCCTTTTCGGGATTTGTCGGCTATATGTACCTGCCTCCTAGTGAGTGATGCTTTTATCATTATGACTCAAATTGGTCCCGGGTTTGAGTGTCAGTGGGTATAACATTGCTCACTAGGAGGTAGTGTCGACCAGCTGTCGGGTCCTGAATTTCACTGTCAGCTACTATCCATCATTATCATAATACAAAAGTTATTTGCCTCAAAATGGTTTACGAAACGCACTTTAATTCTTAAAAAAATATACCAACTTCTGTTTCTGCATGTTACAAATATTCGTATAGAAAGCCATGCTCAGATCTTTGCTACTTGTTCCCAGTGTCATTCTATCATGAATAATGGGATATCATTTAGTTAAATGAATAAAGGATATAAAGAAGAAGGTGGATTCTTTCTTACCCTAGATGGAGGGCTGTTTAACTTAGCTGAAAGGAACCTACCAGCATTTTCACTTATTTACTTGTATGTATGTATGTATTTACTAAACTCTCAGAAAGTGAAGCCATAATGAACCAATCAGATTTCTTGTATGAGGTCGAATTCCTCCAATCAGGTTCTTAGGTCAGGGCATGCATAAATCGTGACCGGAACATGATTCGATCATGACTCGAAAACAACTCCTCTATTGGCTGCCTTTTGTCACTACGTCTCAATAAACATTTCAATATGATTTGACTATCTGAGATAGCTGTAGTTTGGTAGCCTAGTATTTGTACTGGGTGGTGATTGAAGGTGAGATGAGAATCTGGACCGCGGCCGGACTCGAACTAGCGACCACCAGATTACCGGCCCAATGCTCTACCAACTGAGCTACGAGGTCCAACTGCTGACCAGAATTTCATTTCACTTCAATCACCAAGAGTTTTGCATGACTACCATTTGAATTCGTGACGCCTCACTACCACTTGATCGTATTCACACTGGCTGCCTAGTCAGGACTTCTCATCCAAATCCAAATCTAACTAAATCAGAGAATAGTATTTGTAATGGGCAAAATCTTTGGTGATTGAAATCAAATAAAATTCTTGTCAGCAGTTGGACCTCGTAGCTCAGCTGGTAGAGCACGGAGCAGGTAACTCGGTGGTCGCTGGTTCGAATCCGGTTGAGGTCAAGATTTTCATCTCACCTTCAATCATCACCCAGTAAAAATTTCAATGAATGTTAGATAACTGAACAACACGTCTAACTGTTCATGCTTTCAGATTTATTTCGTTCTCATTTATTTACAAAGGCATGTGCGTAGTTCATGTGTTTGTTTATGGCATCCAGCCAGTAATAATAACATTTTCTTTTTATTGTTATTTGAAGCATTTTAGTTTATTTGTTTACTTTATATGTCTTCATATGAACGCACCGAAGTCTACAAAATTTATCAGAAATCAACTATAGTTTATATTATTAAATAGTTCCCGAAAGTTTATCTCTAACTTTCTAAATTATCCCTATAAAATATATACATATTTATAAATGGTTTATATTATTATGTTGAAGATGTTTGTATATTACTGAAAATAAACAAAATTATAGTCTTAGAGGAAAATGTCATATAATATTCTCTTGAAAAGTACATTTTCCTCTTCATGACTCATTATGTGATACCTTAATGTTTTTGTGATAATCTGAAGAAGGATAAGATAAATAGGATGAGTAATAAATTGACTTTGTGTTAGTATCTTAACTTCTATGGATTTATTAAACGTGGGACTTCTAAATTCCTACATATTTCAGCTTAGTTCATTTGTATAAGTAATGATGGGCAATGGCTAGCAGTGGAATTCAAGATGCTCATCTCGTCCTATTCGGACTCACTGGTCAGATGGATGTATCTGCCTCCCAGTGAGTTATGTTGTTCCCACCCGGGACTCGGACTCAAGAGTGATCGCTTGAAATGCAAGAGCGTTATTCACTACACCACCGACCCACGATAGCCACTTCTTGTGCGATGGATATAGGGTAATACAAGCAATAACAGTTAGTTCATATGAGTTAAACTAATTATACTTGGATAGGTGGGGTGAAAAAGGAAAGAATTAGTGAAAAACTGGAAGTTATGGAAAATATTGTCATGATTACATCTACTGTTTCTTTGTTTGTTGGAATGCTGAATAGTAACCGTGAAGTTATATGTAAATTTGTTTGTTTTGCGTTAGTGTTACCCAGAGTGTGATTATATTAAGAAGTACTTAAAGATAAATGAAACAATTTGTGGTAAAGATGACTTTAAAACTACTCTCAAATTATGTTTCTAAGTAAATCTTATGTAGATACATAGTTATGCTTTTTGTCCTTCGATTGCCTTTTCAGTTCAATTGATTTCTGGTTTATGTTCCCTGATTAGTTAAAATTTATTGTAATTTCACGCCAATATATCCCATTCATAGCTGGGACCCTGCCAAATTACCATAAGCTAGAGAACTTGATTCAGAGATATTTAGAAAACATTCATTCTCACTGGTATTTTGATGACCAACTAACTCCTCAAATCATGAATAAACTAATTTTAAATGGAAAACTACACTGACTTTATTTCAATGGACTAATTGGTGTGAAGATGAAGTACATTCATATAATAAAAGGAATTAAGGTTTACAAAACCGACCAATCAAAATGAAGAAGGTAGGGATAACTGATTCATTCAATCTATTCAGGGATTCAAAGCACAACTATGCCAAATTCATACAAGAGAAGTTTGTATAAAGTAAGAATATAAGCTTCAACTATTTTTCAACCTAGTGAGATAGGTCTGTAGTCAGTGATGAAAAGTGACTAGAAATGGGATCCAGGATGCGCATTTCGCCTTATTTGGAACTAGTCAGCTACAAGTACCTATCTCCCGATGAGCAGCATCATATAAACTATACCCGTTGCACAAGAAGGAGCTATCGCAACTCGGTGATCGTATGGATTACGCTGTAGTGTTTGAAACGATAGGTTCCGGGTTCAGGTTTTAGTAGGAACAACATTGCTCACTGGGAAGTAGGTACACCCAGTCGAAGAGTCCCGAATAGGATGAAACAAACGGCCTGGATTTCCCAGCTAGCCATTATTTACCATCAGTACCAAAACTGAAAATACAGGTAGTATTGAGGTATCCACACAGGAGCCCGTATGCCACTGAAGACCTATCAATTCGACCAAATCAACGACAGGATAATACAAACGAGACAGTAAATCTATAGTTTTTTGAGGGTGATAAATGTTTCATCTGAAAGAAAAAAAAACTACAACCAGTATTAAACAATGCATTTCTTGATTAGTATATTGCATACCAGTGTGTTTTAAGTAATATGTTTTCTCTTATGATATTAAATAGGGTGAATGGCATAATGGACTTAAATATTATGCCAAATGTTGGTATTCTGCTCCAGGAGTAATGTCTAGTACTCTTACAATTTACGATTTGAATCCAAATGATGTTGGCCGGTATCAGTGTCATATGGATAACGGAATCGGCTCTCCAGCTGTTCGGATAATTGATCTTACTTATCCATGTAAGTTAAAATTTAACAAATGCTAACCATTATCGTGTAACTTTAAAAGTCATGCTTGCAACGATAGAAATGATCAATTAGATTTCTTCATTTCAGCTGAGAAGGTAGATTTCCATAAAAATAGATTAGTCTATTTGGTTATTTCACTTGTTGCTAGAGTTGAATTTAAAGTCACTTCCATTGTATATATATGGGTCATTAAATTCACGCTTTCCAGTATGAATGCTACATTCGACCGACTTAAAAGGTCGCCCTCATAACGATCGAAATAACCAATTAGGGTTCTTCATTTCGGCTGGAATGTCAGAATTTCATAAAATGGAAAGGCTTAACGGCTTATTTCAGTTGTTGCTAGGGTGTCGTTAAAGTTATTCCTGCATTCAATAATGGATGACTTTGAATGAGACCGTAGCAACTGACGAGAAAGTGAATTGCTTTCCTTCATCTTATGGAAAAATACTTTTCCAGGAGAAATGTCAAAGCTTGATTGGTCATTTCAGTTGTTGCTAGGGTGGCCTTTAAAATTGATATAGTAGCCTGCTTTTCCGTAACTTTTCATTGTTTGTTCGTCAGATTTTGGGGGATGGACTATTTACTTGTATAAACAATACTACAATATTTTATGACATTCCTATATTCATTCCATCCGTACAGTAGTATGTCACTAATTATTATTATTATTTGTCCCTTGGGTTCCTAATAGAACATAGGGCTTCATTAGCACATCTCCATTCCACTCTACTCTCTGAAATCTTTTCAACCTGGCTCCACGACAGCCAACAACCTCTCATTTCCTCCTCACACCATCTCCTCAATGGCACCCTCACCTCAAACGCTCAACTCGTCACTTCCCATCTGGGTTCCACTCGAGGGTCTGGTCAGATGCGTGTTGTCCCCAGTCGGTCTTCTCAGTGTATACCCAATCCAATCTATCTCTACCTCCCCATTCTGCATATTTGTTGAGTGATGGGTTCTTGGTTGGTGCGTTGACAGCCAGAGTTCCTTGTTACTTATTCTTATCATTCTGGCAATCCATCTGATCTTCAGTAACGAGCCATCATAGGCAGTTGTTGATGAATGTTTGAAGTTTGTTGGAAATCCGTTTCATAATGCGCCAAGTCTGTGAGCCATACAGAAGCACTGACTTGACGTTAGTGTTGAAAATCCGCATCTTGTTCCACATGCTGAGTGCAGTAGATCTCCACACTCCTTTCAGGTTAATGAATGCCTGTCTTGCTTTTCCAATCCTGACTGGTTTTGACGTCGTCACCTGTCTGTGCCACCTGTAGGTGAAACAGTGCTGCCTAGGTAGGTGTAGGTGAAGGAAGTTACTTCCTTTAGGTTTCTCCCGTTGATGTCACTAATACCGCACTGATATTAGTAGTGTGTACATTTGAAATCATCTGATAGATAGGTGAGGCATTAAGATTGTGTCTGGAATTTAGTTCAAGTATAACCTAAAGGATAGAACAACTCAGCAAAGTGCTCATTTTTACTGAGAAGTGATATATTGTATGAAATGTAGTATATTCATCATATTTGTTCTGATAATTTATAGTGAATGTGATCTGAATATTAATTATGGGAAGTTGGAATTTCTAAAAGTGAGACGTGAAAGACTTACCAAGAGGTGCTAGAATACTCTAAAAATCAATATGATTATTAACTACTGCAACCACTAAAGGTAATAAAGATGTTTCAGTTACTACACGTAACTTGATTGTTAAGATTAAACTATGAGCAAGTAAAATTAAATTATGAGTGAAGTCACCAAGTTGATCCGTATAATTTTTTGAACTTGTTTATCTGAATTAAAGAGAATAAGCAATACTTAGTAAAAAGAGTTGTTCCTTTAAAGAATATCTATGTTGGTTAATTGGAGGTGATGGCAGGAAGTCCTGTTCAGCCTAAGTTTCATGTTTGTTAGCCATCATCAGCAGGGTATATCTACAAGCTCCAGTGAACTGATATCCCTCTGAGAGTCGAACCTGTGTCACCGAATGTTGTATTCAATGACATTACCATTGAGTTATTTGACCTGCGACTGACCTCCTGTAGGACTAAATTCTCTACATTTATTCGTAACTGAGGAGAAATCAATTCAAAACTGTCTAGTTCTGAGTGCTGACTGAATTATATTGGACTTTTTTGTATGGTCACCAGACTAGAAGGCTCAGGATTCCAGTCAGAACTCAGAACCCGACGATATGAAACTGATTATTCTATAATGACTAATCAATTTAAAGGATCATCATATACTATCAGATATCCTAAACAGCTTTTCACATTGAATGATGCAAAAGTGGTGGGACAAGCATCAGAAATCAGTGTATTATGTGACTGAAATTATTTTTATAAACCTTTTTAACTTAGTAACGATAGACCAGATATCTTAGTGAATAGCTGGTTATTACAGTCACCGTGTCACTGATTTAGACTAACTAATTTCTATTAATTGATCTACTTGTAGTGCTCCGTTGTTTTATTGGATCGAATTGTTCGACCTCAATTGGCATATGGGCTCCTATTTGAATGCCTCTATATTGCCTGGATGTTAATCATGGAGAATTTCTTGCCACTATCGAGGTATCCGAATAGGATCTCATATGCCAATAGAGGTCAAACAATTCCATCCAATAAAACAACGCAGCACTACAACTATATCGATAAATAGTAATAACTAAAATCCGATGTAAAAGAAGTTGCTATCGTTCCTCTGTGGCATAGAGGACAACATCTTGGCGATTGAAACGATGGATACGCGGGTCGAGTCTCAGTGAGAACAACATCACATACTGGGGTTTAGGTACATTCAGCTAGTGAGTCTCAAATAGGACAAAACGCGCATTCTGGATTATTCTGACAGTCACAAGCTAGCGAAAGAACTAATATTTGTTTGGCAATGAACCGAATCAAAGTACATTCAAGAACCACACAAAATCTTGTACAGAATGCAATAAAGACAAACTTATTGTGTGGGGCCTAATAATGTTCTCTGCTTACTCAAACCTACGCAGATTCAGCTTCGTGAGAATCTGTGACAAACTGGCTGAAATTCCATAGCCAAAAATAAAGGAATACGTAAAAACGTATAAATTAGCAAACAGAAAAAATTCGTAAAATAAGTGATTATTATTATTGCTGTTATTATTATAATCATTTGTCCCTTGGGTTCCTAGAGGAACATAGAGATTCAGTAGCACGTCTCCATTCTACTCAGCCTCTCCACTCCTACCAACCTCGCTACACCACTCCACACAAACTTCCATTTCTTCCACCCACAACATCTCCTTCGTCTCACCCTCAACTAAGACGCCAAACTCGTCATTATCCATTCGACATTCACTCGAGAGTCTGCCTGGCCTTACGCGTGATATCTCCGAATGGTCTTCTCAGTGTATGTCAAATCCAATCCAATCCATCTACACTTCCTTTTGCATTCTTGTTGGGCGATGGGTTCTTCGTCGATTGATTCGTTGTCACGCCAGAGTGAGTTCCTCCTTGCTTATTCTTACTGTTTCATTCCGGATATCTATCTGATCTTCGGTATCGAGTGAGTGTAGGCGGTAGTTGTTGATTATGTATGTGTGCAGTTTGTTGGAAAGGCTTTCCGTTACGCGCCAACTCTCTCAACCATCACATGGAAGCACTGACATACTTGACTGACATTAGTGTTGAAAATCTGGATGTTGTTCACGCTTTCTGCTGAGTGTGGGGCAGTTCAGTTCAGTTCAGTGCAGTGCTGTGCAGTGAAGCAGATCTCCACACTTAATATTTCAGGTTAATGTAGAAAGTCTTGTCTTGTTATCTTTCCGTTGTTGGCTGGCTTTTACATCCTCATGTGTACCAGTGCCGCCTGTAATTGAAACGATGCTGCCTACGTAGGTGGGTAGGTGTGTATGTAGGTAGATGGGTGAGAGAGACAACTTCCTATAGGTATCTTCTGTTCATGGTTATTGGTAGTTGTCTTGATGTTGTTTTTTGTTGGGTATCTTCATCACCTCTCTCTTCTGTACATTCACTTGAAGTCGCGTCTTCAATGCCTCACCTCGCCTCTTCTACAAACCTGTCATTTTTCGCCTGTACACCTTCGAGTTTGTGCCACAAGACATCAAACATAAATCATCATCGTTGTTGAAATCTAAATCTTCTACTGGGGTACTTTCATCAGTCAAACAGCGTATGCCCATCTTCTCACAGCTTGTCACAGTTTCTTCCTTGATCTAGTCCAGTTGACCACAGTCAGGAAGATGTTTGTTGATAGTAGGTGGCAGCCTTATCTTACTCCTGCCTTCAAAGGCATCACTGAGCTTTCCATTATGAATCACTTGGTGTGTGTCGTGGCCATATGGTTGTTGAATGAGGTTGTTAAGCGTTTGTAGCACTAAGAGTGTAGTGTTGAAACAGCCGCCTGCCAAATTTCTTCTCGGTTGACGCTATCGAAGGCCTTTTCAAAATGGATGAATTTGTGGTAGAGAGTTAACCGCAAAACTAAGTGTTTCATTATAACGTTACTGTCGGAAATTAAATGGCTGTACTAAAGAGATTCAGTGTTTAATAAAATTGTGTGTTGTAAGGTCTCACCAATGCAGAAAATGTAATTAATTTCATAATGTTGGATTTCATTCTTATTGAAGATCTCCTTCTAATTAATATTGATTTTATTTTTATAGTTGAACCACGAGTTGTTCCAGTAACTAGATGGTCAAGAGCTGCGCCAAATATGATTTTGAATAAGAATAAAACAGCAAGTAATACACAATCATCTCAAACTACTGATCAAATATCTTCCATTGTAAAAGGACCTCATGCACGTTTAACATGTGTCATTGCAGCAGAACCTATGCCAGAAGTACAATGGTTACGAGAACCAGCCAATTTAACATTAATTGAAGGTGGTCAATTCCATTCAGTAGTTAAATCTATTCGACCTGGATTATATCATGCAATACTGTATTTGATACAACCACAAGATGTTGACTTAGGTCGATATTTTTGTAAAGTAAGTTTGAATCAAAATCTCTGATGAAAATTTGTTATTGTAAAACTCTTTATAGACATCTAGCTAACTGCCAAGTATGCATAAAACAGTGACTCAGATCCACTGATTCCACCTAACTATTTCTTTTCTGATCCCATAACAGCTTTTTCCACTATATATATATATATATATATATATATATATATATATATATATATATATATATATATATATATATATATATATATATATATATATATATATATATATATATGATTGTCTTGATTAAAAAATCCAAACTAATTTTTATAAGTTTCTTTACACAACTTTTGTGAGTCTTCATTCTATAATGAGATATCGTTGGCAGATAGATTCAAATGAAGCTTTATGAAAAGATAAAAATGAAACATCTTCACCTACTGTTTTACGATATGGTAAATAACAACATTCTGCATATAAATGACAATATCTGAAAATGAACAGATGTAATCAGCGCCAAAAATAAAGATATTAGATATCTTTCGTTTGTGATTTATAATATAGTAATAATTTGTAGCCATATAACAATGATAAGATCAACAAGCACCAATCACCATAAACGGCAGAAACCTAAAGGAGGTTGTCACATTCACCCACCTACCTACCTACCTACCACCCCACACCTACCTACCTACCTACCTACCTACACACCTAACTACCTACCCACAAACCTACCTACCTAAGGAGGCAGCATCGTTTCAATTACAGGTGGCACTGGCAAACATGAGGATGTCGAAACCAGCCAACATCGGAAAGACAACAAGACAAGACTTTCTACATTAACCTGAAATATTAAGTGTGGAGATCTGCTTCACTGCACAGCACTGCACTGAACTGAACTGAACTGCCCCACACTCAGCAGAAAGCGTGAACAACATCCAGATTTTCAACACTAATGTCAGTCAAGTATGTCAGTGCTTCCATGTGATGGTTGAGAGAGTTGGCGCGTAACGGAAAGCCTTTCCAACAAACTGCACACATACATAATCAACAACTACCGCCTACACTCACTCGATACCGAAGATCAGATAGATATCCGGAATGAAACAGTAAGAATAAGCAAGGAGGAACTCACTCTGGCGTGACAACGAATCAATCGACGAAGAACCCATCGCCCAACAAGAATGCAAAAGGAAGTGTAGATGGATTGGATTGGATTTGACATACACTGAGAAGACCATTCGGAGATATCACGCGTAAGGCCAGGCAGACTCTCGAGTGAATGTCGAATGGATAATGACGAGTTTGGCGTCTTAGTTGAGGGTGAGACGAAGGAGATGTTGTGGGTGGAAGAAATGGAAGTTTGTGTGGAGTGGTGTAGCGAGGTTGGTAGGAGTGGAGAGGCTGAGTAGAATGGAGACGTGCTACTGAATCTCTATGTTCCTCTGGGAACCCAAGAGATAAATAATGATTATTAATTATTTATGAATCACTGACTTTTTTGTTCAGAATCTATTTCCAATTACACAATCTGAAGATGTATGATACAAGATGTAATAGTAGGAAATGATGAAGATCACCTAACTCACTGCCGATTTATTATTCAGAAATACCAATTTCACACTATAAAAGAATAACTTCAAACTTCGGAGTATGCAACTTGTTATTATGCTTCTTCTACAGCTTCGTCACGCTACTGATAGGCAGTTAAGTAACTATGGTAATCATAAACAAAATTAAGAGTCTTCTTGAAGGCCACCGTAGCTACTACTTGAATAACCAATCATATTTCCCTATTTTATAAAAGTCTGCCTTTCCAGATGAAATTAACAAATCTAATTAGTCATTTCCATCATTTCTAAGGTGGCCTTCAAAGTCATCCCTAAATTAACTGTAAGTGGGACTGTATGGGATTATATGTCGGACGTAATTTATTGTCCAAATTCATATCAATCTCCCAACTAGATTCTTCAGCTCAGTAGATGTAAAGGTGATAGAGAAAGGCCTTAACTTCAGTATAGCGGTTAATCAATTGAAACCGAAAGATATTATTCTCAGAATAGAAATAGTGTTAAGTTCATTAGATAAAATACTTGCAGACGAGATAAGGGCATACAGTATGCACTAACACTGAAATAACAGAAAAATAAGCCCAAACTATCCAAACTAAAAAGGAAGGCTCATAGGAACCTTCGAAAGGACAACAATATTATTATCATTATTTTTCCCTTGGGTTCCTAGTGGAACATACAGCTTCAGTAGCATGCCTCCATTCCACTCTCTTATCTACAGTCTTCAAAACCTCACTCAACAACTACCCACAAGCTTCCATCTCCTCCCCACATCATCTCATCCATGTCACACTCACATCACAAGACCAACTCATCGTTTCCCCTTCCCATTACACTCCACTCCACGGCCTCGTCTGCTGCATCATGTCCCCACTTCACCTTCTCAGTGTATACACAATCCAATCAATCTCAACTCCCTTCTTCTTCTTCTTCCTCATATTTGTTCGGTGATAGCTTCTTGTCTCGTTGGTTGGTTAGGAGGTCAGAGTTGCTTGTTGGTCATTCTTGCTTATCATTCTGGCCATTTGGTGTGATCTTCATTATCGAGTGAGTGTAGGTGTGGGTGGCAGTTGTTGATGAATGTCTGTAGTTTGTTAGAAGTCCTCTACGGGACTCGCAAACTTTGCGAAGCATATAGCAGCACTGAATTGACATTGGTGTTGAAAATCCAGATCTCGTTCACACTTTGTTCTGAGTGCAGCAGACCTCCACACTGATTTCGAATTAATGAAAGTCTGTGTTGTTTTACCGATGTAGGTTTTGACATTGTAATCTGTGCCTGTGTCACATGTAGTTGAAACGATGTTGCCTAGTTGGGTGAGTAGGAGAAAGAGACTACTTCTTCTAGGTTCCTCTCGTTCGTGATGATTGGTGGTTGTTGTTGATGTTGTTGTTGGTTGAGTGTCTTCATCACCTCTGTCTTCTCTACACTCACCTGAAGTCCGGTTTTCGCTGCCCCGTCTCTTCTGTCACTTGTTATTTTTAGCCTGTACATCTTGGAGTTTGTGCGACAAGACATTGAACACAAATCATCATCGTTGGTTAAATTCAAAACTTCTAGGTTCTTTTCATCGGTCCAGCTTATCCTCCTCTTCTCGTTCCTCACAGTTTGCTGAATGATCCAGTCCACCACAATCAACAACAACAATATAATAATCGCTAAATCGGATGAAGCCAATTCAGTGATTGTAATAAACAAATCTGATTATATCTGCAAAGTGAATGAAGATACAGCTAGCTAGTAGGAGAATGGACAATTAATTATGTCCGAAATGTTATGAATTAAATAATACTGTTTCACTGTCTGACATATCTAATAAAAAGACTAAAATGGGATTACAAACTACAACAATACCGAAGTTTTACTCTTATATTAATATTTGAATTGTTTAATAAACCTATTAAATAGGCTAAGAATTTAGTTGGTGAAGATACTGGTCGAGTTGATCTAATAAACTCAATCCAACCAGATGTACCAAGTTCTCCACGTTTGATAAATGCAACTAGTACAAGTTTAGCCGTATCATGGACACAAGGATTTAATGGTGGACCTGAACAAACATTTCTGGTAAGCATTTTATTCACTTGTATACAGTTTTGTTGCTTTTTGTATAAATCATTTTAGTAAAATACAGAAAAGTTTCCTATATATATATATATATATATATATATATATATATATATATATATATATATATATATATATATATATATATGTAATACACGTACTGCTTGCGAATTCAGCTTGGAATTAAAAAGATTTTGAAAGAAGAAGTATTTTAATCACATTGATTGAAAACCGTTTCCTACCATGCTTCATAGACAAAAACATCAGGCCTATACCTCGCAAAGCGATACTTACCACTGTGCTAAGAAAGACACTCTACATGATGCATTGATTGGTCAAGGGAGGGTAACCAACTTTATTTGCTGACCGAATTCTATCGACTGTATTGCAATATGGCCACCAGACTAGGTAGTTCAGCATCACAATGCACTTTGAAAGATGTTAGCTGATTGGAAACAATCGGCAAGAAGCCCTGGATTAAGGTTTTGTGCTTGTTGTCACTCGTCAGCAAGGTGTATCTGCAACCCCGATAGAATTGATGTTCCACCTGAGATTCAAACCTGCATCACCCGGTGTTGTGGTCAGCCACGTTACCAAATGAAGTTGGTTGCCTTCTAGTGACCAATTAATGTGTCTAATCCAGGTCTACAGGAGGTCAGCCACGGCCCGAATGGCTCAGTGGTACGACTGCTGATTACAACACTATGTGACATAGGTTCGAATCTCAGGTGGGATATTAGTTCTGATGTGTCCCAATCAGTCTAACACCTAGGTCCATGGCTTCCTACCGATTACCTCTATCCAACTAGAACTCTATATGAATCAAAAAACCCCTTGTTTAAAGCCAGCTATAGAGTGAAAAGGAACCTTCCGAATGCTATGTGTCTCCGTATTCTCTGCATCGCCGAAGCTCTTGCCATCCATATACAGAAACCTGAATTGTGTACATAAAAGAAGATTGTTCAACCTCTTTTCCTTTCATGGTCTTGGTTTTCAGTCTTTGAAATCTCTTCTCCCCACCTTTCTTTCTATTTTTCTATTTTGATACTATTCGCTTGCTACTCTTTCTGATCACAATTCCTTTTCCATTTATGTCATCATATCACAAAACTTCTTGTCCAAAGATATTTTGATTATTATTCACTACTCAAAACAGTTTTCTGATTTTTGGGATTTCAATGACAGCTTATATATTGACACTGTTTGAGTTACCATACTTGATAAACCGTTTCTAACTACACTAGGAAAATGTATAAATTTACGATTGTACAGCTTCGAAAATGAAACTGCCGAAAAGAGACTCTTTACTGAAATAATTATTCTTCTTTCGTATTCTGATGGGTATAGTTTACATATTAAAAAGATTTTATCTAATGACAGAGAATGAGCAAGATTCCTTTGTTTACTCAACACTACACGCTAATACTTGAGTAAATATATATTAAACTTGTAGTATTGGTTAACTGGAAGCAATCAGCAGGAATTCCTACTCAACCTGCGTTTCACGCTTATTGGCATTCATCAGCAAGATGTGTCTTTAAACTTGAAGGAACTTATGTCTCCTCCGAGATTCGAACCCATGTAACTGTGTTACAGTTAACAACCTTAGCATTCAACTATTCAGGCTGTGACTGACTTGCTGGAGGGTACCCAATTCAGTTTCGTTTAGCCCTAAGCGCCGACCAAAATCTATCGATCATTTTGCAGTTTAGACATCAGACTAGGAGGTTCATCATCCAGGTGCACGTCTGATGGATGTTAGTTGGCTGGATGTAATCGGCAAAAATCTCTGCTTGCATAAGGTCTCGTGCTTGTTGACACTCATCATCAAGACACATCTATAACCTCATAGGAAGTGTAAAACAATGGAAATGTTCAATAGCATTTTTGTTTAAAATCTATACATGAATTGCAAGTACTTTTTTGGTGAATACTGATAAGTTGAAAAGAAGACATCTACTTATTCCAGACCGATGATCGCAGAAGAAGTTTTTTGGCATAGTAAAACAAGTCAATTTAAGACAAGATGTCGACTGTTTGTAGCAGCGTTTTGTTTCTATTTTGACTATGTTTTTATTTCTCTGCTTTTAGTTAATGTGATAACTTTTGAAAAATTCATTTAGATTTATAATATAATGAAATTATGATAAATTTTTCCCAAAGTTACCATTTTTATAAAAAGTAACTTCCTGATGTACTTCTTGTGGCAAAAGTGTATGGTTAATGTATAGATTGCAAACAGTGAATACTTTCTCTGGATTCTTCTACTAGCCACAACCAAACAAATTATCACAAATAACATTCAGGCAATATCAAGGCATCCGCATAGGAGCGCATATGTCAATGGAGGTCAAACAATTATATCCAATAAAACAACGGAGCACTACAAGTATATCAATGAATAGTAATAACTAATACCCGTTGTACAAAAAGTGGCTGTTGTGACTTCATGTCATAGTAGATAACGCCTCGGAGTTTGAAGCGATGAGCACGAGGTTTCAGTCTCAGTGGGGACAACATAACTCACTAGGGTGCAGGTATGTCTAGCTGACGAGTCCTTGATAGAACAAGACGCACATCCTGCATTCTTCTGCCAGCCACAACCAAGCAAATCACGATAATCAACAATCAGGCAATATCAAGGCATTTACATAGGAGCCCATATGCCAATTAAGGTCGAACAATTCGATCCAATGAAACAACGGAGAATTACAAGAATGTCAATAAATAGTAATAATTTCTCTTTATCTTATAAATCAGAAGAAATGAAAATAAAATGAGAGCAACAAATGAATAGAATAATTCACTACGAATAGGAACACAATCTTTAATTGTGAGGTAATCTTACTTCCCAAAAGACATCTTTTCTACCATGACAATCATTGCAACAAGATTACATGAAACGCATTCATATTTACGTGATATTACACGTGAATTTCTTCAAAAAACCAGAGTAACTAGTTTAGCTAAGTTTGAAAGCCTTTGCATAAACTATACAATGAAAATGTGTGAAATAACATGAACAATATTAACATTATAATTATGTACAACACGACAATTATTATTATTATTATTTGTACTTTGGGTTCCTAGTGGAACATACAGCTTCAGTAGCATGTCTCCATTTCACCTCGTCTCTACAGTCTTTTCAGCTTAGCTCCACAACTCCCCACAAGCTTTCGTTTCTTCCTCACACGATCTCCTCCACGTCACCCTAATCACGGACGCCTAACTCGTCGTTTCCCCTTTGGATTGCACTCGACGCGTGATGTCTCCGAATGGCTTTCTTAGTGTATGCCTAATCCATCTCCATTTTCTTCTGCAACGCCACTTAATTATAATGATTGACTAATATGAACATTTCAAAATCTACAAGGGATAACAACTGAAAAGTAGGTATTTCAATTGCTTTTAACGAAAGCATGAGCTCTGCGGAAGAGTTCCATACTAGGACGAAACAGCTATCCGCTGATCCCAGGTTTCCAATATTTCTCCAACTGATGTCAGTTTCTGAAGCATACTAACCTGAAGTCGATCAAAACAAATCCCCGAAAATCTCTAAATTGAATTAATCCTCTGCTCATTGATGACTAGCTTCGATAGGTGATTCTGGAAGTTTCAATGAGAAGACCTGGCAAGTGGTATCAACCAAGTAAAACATGAAGACAGTTACTCAATGACGGCTGTATCTTGAACTGAAAGGAGTAGGAAATATGAATCCAGTGGCTCAGTAGTAACGTAATGGTCACAGAACGTGAGGGTCCTGAGTTTGATTGCTGGTGGGGTCAGGAGTGTGTACTGCTGAGGAGTCCCATGACAGGATAGAACAGCTATCTAACACTCACAGGTTTCCAATGTTACTCCAGTCTATGTTGAATATCAACATAAAAGAATGAATAGTTTCATTTTTCTTTTTATCTAAATATTCAAACTATGATTGTGATGTTTTCATTCAGTTTTTGAGTTCTTATGGATTTTTTTCAGTAAATTTTATAAATAGATAGGAAATTCGTTAACTAATACTAATCACTAGTTACACTTTATCTGTTTTAAAATATCTCTGTGATTAATTCATTAGTTGGTCAAGAATGTTAAAGTAATGGCCAGGGTTGAACATTACAAAATAATTTTGTTACCACTGTTTAAACTGAATGCTGAATATTTGTACTATAATGTTATAAATTACTCGGTTGAGGTTAGCAGTGGAATTTAAGACGCCCGTTTTCTCCTATTTGGGACTCATCGATTGGATGTACCTGGAACTCAGTGAATAATCCTGTTCCCATTGGCAACAAAAGTAGACCAATTCGATCCAGTAGAACAACGGAGCACTACAAGTATATCAATGAATAGTAATAATTAATACCCATTGAAGAAGAGGTGGCTGTCGTGTTTAAGTGACTTGAGTGGATAACGCTTTGGTGTTTGAAGTGATGGGTACTGGGTTCGAGGTTCATTAGGGTCCAGGTACATCCAGCAGATGGGTTCCAAAAAGACAAAACGCGCATCCTGGATTCTTCTGCTAGTCATAATCAAGTAAATTATACCAATAAATATTTAAACAATCTTAGAGTATCCGCATAGAACCCCTTATATCAACGAAGGTCGACCAATTAAATCCAGTATAACAACGGGAAAGTACATATATCAACAAACGGTAATATTTTTTACTTTGTTTATGCATTTACCTAATTTCATATCTTATTTTAGACAAACATAGGTATTGTAAACACTACTTAAATGAACAATTGTGATAGGTTGCTACAACTAATGGAAGAACATATAAACTGTCAATGCAACCATGATGCTTAGATTTAATATCTACTATTTTTACTTTGATATGCGGTATGCTACATCAACAACTATTCATTCTACTCAATATTGTCTCTATCAACTCATATAGCATAATTCATAATATTGACGTAATTCTGGATTCATAATGTGTAGTTTTTAAAAGAAAATTGTAGAGATTTTTAACTCAGGATGAAAAAGGATAATTA